ATAAACAGGAAAATACAGCCTTCAGTGACTAATATAGGTGTCATTAACAGCAAGAAGTAAAGTGGATTTTGCGTAAGGAATATTAACGATGTGATAAAAATGGTACCGACGCGTGTAGCGCAATGGCTAGAAGCGCTCTGCAATGCACATGAGTTCGATCAGGCGCCCTAGGCTGACCAAACCTTCCATCTCTGCAGGGTCCTCAAGTTGCTGCCAAACCTGTCTAGGAGAAGTAGCAGCACTGAGTCGATACATTGGTAGGCTATCAGAAGTCATTTGACAGGTCAGATATGCATCCAGTCAACTCTAACGGTCTGTAAAGTAATCATATGAGTGGCACATCACTCGAAGACTGATCAATGTCGAGAGCTTCATCCGTTCTTTTGTGAAAAAAAACGTGCTCTAATCGAACTAGGTATTGTGACATGATGAGTAAGAGGCTCGACTTTCAATTCGTTTTAGATCTTAAGAAAGAATCATCCTCAAGTTTCTTATCTCGAAGACAGTCTCTCTTAGTGGCACTTCTCTCAGTGCACGAATCGCAGCCTCGGCTGAAACTTCCATCACCGATCGATTTGAAATACGTTATCACCAGTTTCTTTCTCCATAACGCACACTACCCTTCTCACCCACAAATCAATAGTCTAGGACTAGCACGCGATTTAGTTGGAACTCTGAAAGCATTAACGAAAGCTCAGAATCATGGTTGACACTACGGTTTCGCATTTCCTGTGTATAATCTGGAAATGCCTCTCGTCAACTGGTCCGTCAGTCTCATCCAAGCACTACGCTGTTTTTTTTTGTGCCATTTTTAGTGATACAAACAATCTATTTCGTCTATTTGTGATATTTCAACAACGATAACCACATCCCATGTATGAGGAAGCTTGCCACATCCAGGACGTTGAAGATTCCGTGCTCCAATCGGAAAAAGACGCGGCGCGAGGCGTGCACCAGAGAAGCAGAGCGAATTGTCATCACTCTGCTTCTCTGCCGCACGCTGTCATCATCGCAGGTTCTGGCGCGTTTCTCCCGCAGTTGTTCTTCCACTTCTCTTCGGGCAGCGTTTTTTCCAGCAGTAGTCTTGTGCAGACAACAGTTACTGCCTTTCCGAAGAATTTGCTGCTTTACTGGTTTTCTTACTTCATAGTTCCGCACTGTGGATAATGGTAAGTACAAACATTGGTGAGCTTGCGCAACATGGTTGTCTCCTTTTCCTTCTCCGCCCACTGTTCAACCGTCATTTTCATCATGTTGAGGTTCTCGATTTTTCAGGTAAATATATCCTTGCTGGACATGCTTTAGCTTCTGGATGAGCTGGGCCGGGAGCCGTAGTTATTGTGAATGACCTCACTTGACCTGCCTTCTCTCTATGGATCCTTGCGTCGTAATTGTTAGGAGCAGGTGCTATAACAGCTTCTTGGAGTTAGTAGACCTACGGTTAGCCGTTTCTTTCTGTGACGCAGTTTAAAGGTCAGGCGCTGGATCTTTCACAACCTTGTCTTTGTATGATGTCTGATGTGGACGTAGCTACTTTGATCGTTAAGGTCGGAGCGATAAGGTTCTTGGTCACATTGCGGTTTCTATTTAAAGGTTGTTTGGTGCTTTGAGGGTAAGGTTTTGGCTGCTTCAAAGTGTTCAGTCAAGGGATATCCATTCTAAGTCTTCTGTGATTACTCGTCTAAGCCAGTTTAACTCAAATATTCATAGAATTGTTATCTACTATCTACTCTGTAATCAATAGGAGAAATGGTCTAACAATTGTGCAACATCCTGGGATGCTCAGACAGGTACGCATTTTCCATGGCTCATTGTCTAGATCTGAGTGAAATTACTTGAAAACCAACAGTGGTGGTCTTCTAGATTATGGATTTTTCCTTTTCGAATAACTCCACTGCGCGTTTTTTCCCTTCAGAAATGACGTCAGCTGTCTACGTAAGCCGCTCGTTATCGATCCGTTCCCGCGCTCTGGTGACGTGACGTATTTACTTCCCACGTTGTTTTTGTGTCATGGGTTCTCTGAAACACAAAGGACAACATTAACCATATTGGTGTTGTTGGTGTTTTACTTTACATGGCTAATCACAGAGAACACTCAGACATCTGACTAGACGACTTCGCACGGCTTCGTTGTCGTCACGTGCCCTTCCCAGAGTGCTTGTGCACTCACTCGGGTCTCCGCCTCCGCCCGCACCCTTCCCCGCCAATTACCGCTGACGGTGGCTCCTGTCAGCTTGTTCTCGTCGTCTTCGCTGCAATCCTGTCCCCCTCTTCTGTTTCTGTCTCCGGCAATTTTAAATTTATTTGGTGTGGTGCTTTACTCTTTTACGTTCTCCATATTGTCGGTTAAAGTACCCTATGATTCTTGGAACTTAAAAATACTGTGTTTTAACGTATGTCGAAATTGAATGTAGCGATGAGAGGACTGCTGCGTTTAGGAAATTCTTCAAAGTAGCTGTGTTTATTCCCACACTTTTTGAAGTTCTTCTGCAGGAAGGTTTGACAATACGCAATGGTATTAAAGGCCAGTCCTGTCGGCGTTCATTTTTACAACTGTGTGTTGTGGTACCATTATCAGTCTTGTTTGTCAAGTACAGGAGGGTTACTGTCTACCATATTTTTACGTGGAAAGCGTGGTAAATGGGAACGCGACTCCCTATCACGACGCTATCAGTTACGTAACTGTAAATTCTACGATGAAAGATCCAGGAGCTTCAGTGAGGAGGGGTTTGCATGCCTAATATCACTTCGACCTGGTGTGAATGCTGTCTTCTGTCCTGTTTTTACGATGCAGATCCTTTCTTAATTTTGTCCAAATTGCTTGGTCAGCGATAAAAATAGGAAAGGTGAGATACATGTGCAGTTGTTTTGGATTTTGAGGACATGTTTTTAATTGTCTACTAATATTTGATACATGGATTGGTTGTTCATATATTTCAAGTGTTACCGATCACATGAAATGTAACGCAACGAAATCGGAAGGGGTCAAACGTAGAACTGGGGCATCGTTTCATTGCATAACTGGCCTTGGCATTCCGGTAACGGTAACGTTTGAAATTGAGAAAGTATAACTTGTTATATCGTCGAGCTCATGAAGGTCACAGTCAGCACAGTGCATCTCTCGCAGATTTTTAGAGTAGCTGAAGGCTTGTGATTGGCAGTGGTTTGGTGAGGAAATGTCTGGTAGAACACACTATTCAATGAGCACATGTTATTGGTAGAGCCTTATAAAGAATACCGTTATTTTATATAGCGAATATGCGAAATATTGAAATCTGATGAATGGTGATTAGTGTTGCCACGAACGTACGGAGGCACGGGCATGTTGCAGCTGGCCGTTTTCGGCCAATGATTGAGGAGTTTTGAAGAGACTGAAGTATACGATTCTGCGGTCATCTTCTCAATCTGAATATGTTTGTGAGAAAGCAGAACACAGTGTAAGAATAGTTGGAATGTTTTGGTGATAGGACGATCCTTTCATCTATTTCAAGTTTTATTCACAGTTTAGAAGTCTTGATTCTTATAGCTTGTCCAGTTGTCTTGCATGTCAAGTGTCGATTTTCTCAAGTTCGTGTCAGTGAGTGGAACACTGATCGATGCAGTAACACACCTCGAAGTTCCGTTTGCTCGGGTTACGCGGAGAGTATCATCTTTTTTTTGTTATTAAACATGGATTCTTAGTACTTTTTAATAGAGGGTAGTTATGTTAGGTCACGCTCTGTTGTGTCAGGATAAGTTGACACCTTATTGAGCCTAGAGCTAGAGGTATTATCGGTCGTGTTAGCGTGTGATACCCTTCCTTGATAAATACTTATTCAACAATACATTTCAGTAGCTAGGTGCGCTTTTTTTCACGACTTGGTGATGAGCTTTTAAGTACGACACCGAAAAAGATGGCACATAGTTTTGTGTGATATGTCAAGGGGAATACTATATTATTGTGAAGTGTATAAACCACCCTGAGTATGATCCGTTACTCCCAATTTGTGTTCTGGGCGTTTGAGATAGTGGTACATATGTTCCAAGGACAGTTGCTTATCGTGTTCCCATGTGTCGGTGTACCATGTTCTTCTCCAGTGGACGCCGTCGGCTGGGGCAATCTTGAACCGGGCGGGTGTCGGTCGGCGCCGTCGTCGGGGTCATGGCAGGCGAAACCGCCACGCGCGCCACTGCGCTGGGCCGCATCACGCGCGCCGCAGGGCGTGCCTATGCCGTGCGCTCGTTTTCGCCCACAAACACCACCATATCGCTCATGAACTGTTATTGGCTACGCTCCAGGCACTACCGAGACAGGATATTTCAGGTGCTGTGAGGCAATTCATTGCCTCCGCTCCTATTTGTATGTTTGCGACTTTACGAAACATTTCTACCTTCTCTCCCATCGTTTTTTAGTGAGCGCTTTCATACGTTCTCCATCTGAAAAGATGATTCAGTATACAAACCGCATTTTCATGAGGAGTGGAGTTATGAAAACGTTTAGATTCGAAGTTATTTTTTCCAACGGTATGGGGCGAAAGGATTCTTGTTTTGCTAGAATTTTCATATTCTCCGTCTTTATATTTGTATTTGTCGGCGATTCGGTAAATGTCCTGGATTTCTGATCTATAGTGGAAGTCCGATATCCCAAATACTATTCTCCATTGCTGGCTCAAGACTCTTCTTTCTCAAAGAATCATTGTGGTCAGATACAGATATGTTCGACAGATGAGCATATTGTTTTCTAGGAAGTTACCGTTTCATGCACTGTCAAGAATATGATTTCATTCATTTTGAATACTTGGTTTCCTTTAGTCGAATCTGATAACATCGATCATTTTAGGGATCGTTTTGTGTTTCCGTGTTGGAATTTTTCCTATAGTGTAGAGTACCAGTGAGCTTGAATTGGTTGCGTTGTTTATCACTTGTTTGCGCTGAAATACGTTGTTGATAATTACAATAGTGCTGTGGTCATTCTTACCCTACTCGGTTTCAGCTCGGTTCTTCGTATTTCTCAGGTGAAGATGGAAAATCAACAGCAACCGTCTACGACATCTCTTTGCCGGAATGGGTGTGGATTCTTTGGATCGCAGGTAGTTGGCACTTTAAAAAGTGGCTTGGATCTCTAGTAGGATAGAACGATTTTAGATAGCTGTTAGCTAACGAGAAGCGGTAAAGGTTGAAACTCACGGGCTATTCATTTTGTGTATTACTTAAGGTTTCATAGGAAGCTTACCATTGCATATTTTGCTCAGTCAATGAGTCCTTATTTAGGCTAGCTTAACTTTGTAGGTAATTAGTGAAAGTTGATGATATATGCAATTCCTACATCCTGTGTTCTTGAAGGGCCGGATAACTAGCGACCTAGTTTGGTTAATTCTTAATAGCGTGTCATGTCTTAATTTTTCAGGCCAACGAAGGTTTATGCTCTAAATGTTTCAAGGATTCTATCAAGCGTAATCAGGATACAGCCAGGTTGTCTCCAAATGGTCCGTACTGTTGGTTTTTTTGCTTACTTTCTGTTTTTTCTGTGTAGTCTGCTTTTATTAGAACAGATGAGTATGACCGTAGTGGCTGGTTTATCGGCGAGTGTGTGCCGTATCGATTGGTTGCGGACTCGCTATGTGGTCTAATGGAGAGCGAGCGCGGTGTTTTCGATCTGTTGACGAGGGGTGGAATGTGGGGGACCCGGAGAAGCAGTCTACATATGGTGCATGTGCATTCTTCTGAGCCAAACGCATCTAAAGGGCTTTACTATTTACTGAAACGCATACGCTAATGTGTAGTGCGGTCATGAGAAAAAACACAAGGCGTGGTAAAAAGAATTCTTCCATGTCACAATTTCTTTTACAAGTTTCATTTCAGTTGGGCCTTTTTGAGTGAAAAAGTTTCCTCCGAAGAAAACCAGGAACTAGTTTTGATTAGATCGTTTTTCGTTTAGTGGTTGACAGTGTATGTCCGGCGTTGCGGAGTGTTTGCTGCTCATTAGGGGTTGTATCCCGGCTTTTTTTCTTTGAAACATTACAGATTTCGGTGCTGTTTTTGCTGCAAGTGCTAGTAAGCTAAAATGGAGGATACATCTATTATTTCTAGTACTAGATGAGATGCTGCGTGTTATTGCGTGTACTTATCGGTATCTTGATTTTTTTTTAGTTCCTATACCTATGACTGCTTCATCGTCAACTCTAATCTCCGACTGCCCAATGACTGAGCCTCCTGCGCAGACATGTGCACAAGCAGCGCACGCTGCCAGTGATGTTACTGCCAAACTTGAAAGCGCTGAAGCGATTGCTGAAAGTCAACCAGAAACGAGGTGTGTCGTTGAAGTAGTAGTATTGAGTTTTGACAACATTCCATCTCCTTGAATAGAGAAAGCGAATAAACTGTTTGAATCTGATCAGTCCTTGCGCTATTCGTTGAACTCGTCTGACTGTATCTTTATCTTCATGATCAAGTTTCGTACTGATTTACTCCCTCAAAAATGACGGCATGGCTTGATTTATCCAGATGTTGAGATTGAACGAACTAGTATTTTTGTGCATCATGACATCTGCGTATCTTACAAGTACACTGCTTAATATGCGCATCTGTTATAATTAGTGTTGTTTTTTATTCGCAAAACTAGTGTCATGTGGAGGTAGTTTGGAGACTCTCTGCACACTCAGTTTTAGTTGCGTCGTCAACACCGAGTCTGCTTCCGTATCGGTCGATACCGGTGCTACTGTGAAAAAAGCCAACCGTTGTCAAATGTGTAAGAAGAGGGTTGGACTTACTGGTGAGTTTTGTTGTATATTTGGTAGAACTGTGAATGACGAACTTTTCTGAAGCTGTATTTCTATTCTAGGTTTTACATGCCGTTGTGGAGGACTATATTGTGGCGATCATCGTTATGATCAAGCGCACAACTGTTCATTTGATTACAAAACCATGGAACGTGAGGAAATTCGCAAGAACAATCCTGTCGTCGTCTCGGACAAAATTCAACGAATCTAGGGCACGCAGCTTACACTACCCTGTGGACAATTTTTCGTCTTCGCTGCATCATATGGTCAAGAAAAACGTTTTCCGTCTTCAATTTTTGTGTGTCTTTACAATTGCGATTGCCCCAGTTCAGCTGGTCCGATCGTCGCACTCAGTCTCAGTCATCATACCCGATTCTCTGTAATGAAGATTTATTGTAAGCCCCATAGAGAACACATGGTCGGGTCATCTTATTTTATGCGGTGTTTCCCACTGAGCTCCATTAAGATTAGTTAGACTGTGGACTTGCCAGCTTTCCGACCTTCCAGTTCTCTCATGGGGATCACTATAAGTTCTTAGCCTCTGTGATCCGAATGGTCTTTGTTAATGCTTGATAGGTCGTTTTCGTTTTTTTTTTCTCCTTGTTTGGTATGTGTCAAAGCATTGCGATTGGTCAGATGTTTATTTCCGCGATATTCTTCCTCCTTCAAGTAGTCAGGACTTGCGCCCATGGAGCTATGTGAATGGCGCCGTCCACAATTGCCTTGTGTACTGATACACTGATTTGTTTTCTGGTTGGTTTAGTTGTGTTGGGAACGGAATCTTCCAAATCGTAATCCAACATGTGAGTGGTGGTAGTTGCTATTTTTCATCATGTTGGTCAGGCACTGAATATACGTATTCTGTATTGATGTTGCACCAACCACATTGGGTTTTTCGGTCTGAACAGCGTAATATGCATCCACGCCCTCAACATTTTGTCCGTACGACATGCCTAGGTATATCTATTTCTTTTCAAGAACGCTGTAAATAGTATGTAATGAATCGTGAAAAGTAATGCAAATAAACGGCTGTGTGGAGAGGAAGTGTAACAGGCGGGACTTTTTCTATTAGGCTGAAAACAAAGAAGTATAGAAGTTGTGGTACAACGTTGTTTTTGCTTAACGGTAGTGGACGAAGTTAAATATTATGGTATATGGAAGATATGTTGGTTTTACATATATAGATGTCGTATGTAAGGGATATCTTGTATTCGCGAATAATGCCACAAATCAAGTTAAGGGTTAAGCGTTGAGAGCTTAAAAGTCTAGAACTGAAAAGCGTGGAAACAAGTTTAAAGGGAAAGGTCGCATTAGGATCAGTAACTACATATGATGATATGTGTGTAGAGTATAGGATACGTTGCAGAACCAGTAGCAATATGTTCTGATGAAAGCAATTCTTTGATGCGAATTTAGGTATGTGTTAGAAGTAACCAATCATTAGAAACCGATTAATCTTACTTAACACCAAGGTCATTTACTAGCTGTACGGTAGTACCGCATTTTGGATGGTTCGATTGCTTTCGAGCCTTTCCTTGCGGATCCTCGAAATTTGATCTCTTGAGCAAGGAAGGAACAACGTCTATCATCATACGAATGTACTTGGATTGAAGAGGTGTACGATACTAGGCTAGTTTTGGACTCATAGTAAGCGCTAGTTGTTCGGAATGTGACTACGTGAGAGATTGAGATGAGTCGAGTTGGGGTTGCTTTCATTTTCATATGACCTGTCTAATCAGTTCTAAAAACATTTCTTAGTGTTTCTACTCATTATTTATAGCTAATCTAGTTTATTGAGTTGTCCGGATGAATTACAGTTCACTGAATGAATTCGCAGTGACGGGTCTAGAACTGAGATAACTAGTACCTGCTTTGGTCAGTAGTGTAACAATAAGGTGCGTTCTTTCAAAGCTGTCGTCGCTGCCAGAACTGTGCCGTTCTCTGAACGAAAACACGTGTTGTGTGGAGTAAAGAATGACGATTGCGAACGATTTCTGCCCAGTCCGTCCGTCTGGCCCGCCGACTGAGTTGTTCCGCGAACGACCGCGCGGGTTATCAGTGTGTGGTGGAGAGGGCGCAAGCCAAACAGGCCCCCGCCGTTTGGGCAATGCGAGGTATCGAAGGGACAGTGTTTCGCCCTTCATTTTGTACAGTGCTTTCTTTCGCTATGGCTTTCATGACTCTAGTTCCTGTACAACACAGAGCAATCGGATATACAAATGTATAGCAAATCTGACCGCAAGGGGAGCGAAAGCCATCTTTTTTGGTAGCACAGGAAAAGGATCGTATTATAATATAGCGTGTAATAAAAAAGTCACAACTGCTGGTAATTTGTTGTTTGGGCCCGGTGGTTCATTGACGTCATGGTTGTGGAATCAGCATGTGTCCGTAGCATCAAATGACTGCTGATCGATGGCGATGGTCGCGTGAGTCGACGGCGAAACCCTGGTGACCAACACTTCTTCCTCGTTCACTTTATTGTAACTCAGTTTTTGATCCATACATGATCGATAGAGAGTTGAAGGTTTGTGTTTCTGTAAGCATGCGTTTCTAGTATTATAATACACCTATAATTAATGAGGGGTCGTTTTTCACTAGGATGCCTGAGTTCCGACTGTGTTAGGGTGAGTTGGCTTCACCTAAACACGTAATGTTTAATGAAGTTGTTGGTTTTAAGTATTTTTTAAAAATTGTTGTAAAGGATGTAGCAGAGTAGTGCTATTTGGTTGCTTGACGGTTTAGTCTTCCTGGAAATGTTTTGACTGGAAAAGCGGATTCTCTTCGATGGTTAGTTAAGATTTTTCTATTGTTCGTAACGCTTGTTTCTTTGTGAAAGGCGTGATCATCGACAAGTCATCGAAAATAGTGATGGCTCGCTTTCATCTCGTCGACTGCATATCGAACTTAGGGAGAAGTTATGGAAGAAAAATGGCAACTCGTTTTAGGCTCCTCTCCAGTTGACACTTATAAGTACGAATTATGGGATAGAACGTTGCCACCGACGACAATATGTCAAATTACAAAACACCGTCCTGGCTGTGAAGAGGCCTGATAGGGGATTACGAGCTGTAAATACTTATGCGTTTTACGCTTATTTAAAGGAGTACTTTTAATAGACTAATGACTGGAATCGCTATTGAGCTCAAGTAGCTTGTACCTAGAGACCAATTTTGTATGCTCGATGAACTCGCACTTCGGAAAGATGAAGAACAGAAACAGAGTGATATTGGAAAAGATTTAACGGCAAACTTTGTTGATAACCAGCTCTAGTCGATTCGTTATGGATACTGCGGAGATCCGATACTTTATGCTAAGGAGAGAATTAGTTGAATAAGTGCGGCTTTTCCATCGAACTCAATTACCAGCAATAATTGTTAGCTATTTAGAGAGATAATTATGATTGAAAATGACGTGTACAATAGAGGTTTTCATGCGGATAAAGGATAAAAAGAATAAAGCTGTCGGCGTTTATGAATCGCTGAGGGATGCGCTATGCATTCGACTTCATCAAGCATCGTTTGGAGGTGACTGAATGCATATATGGCCATGACAATGACTCGCGGTGGCCTACAGATGTATTGAGTCAGTGCTGCTATCCTCCCAGACAAGTCTGACACCAAGTTGCTGACCCAGGAGGGATGGAAGGTTTGGTGGCCCATAGGCGCTAGGATCGACTCCACGTGCGTGTCGCATTGGCTCCACCAACCACTTCGCCACACGCACCCTGAATGTGGTTAACTGAAAATTCAAGCATGGTGTTGTAGTTAACATTTAATCATCTTGACAAAAATCATAATGTGAAATGGCGTTGATGTTCAACCAGCAGTTGGTATGAACACCTGGTGTTCGTCTCCCCAAATGCTCTTCCACTTTTATCGTTCGCCACTTATTAAGGATAAAGAGTGAGACAGTGTGAGCGTTTTTGCGTGGAGTGTCAATCAACAAAACAACAGTCATTGTGGATAATTCTACTAATTTAATGTTCTAAACCATTTTACATCAAGTATCTATGAAAAATCAGCGCATTTTCCCCAGTGATAAGCAAGACGAGGTTGTCATGCAAGTTTTTTTTAGTTAACGTCTCGACGCCCCCGCTTTCTTCAGAGCTCCACTGAGTTCGACTAGATGAGACTACGAAGACCCACATCACAAGAATAAACCACTGTAGACAATTCGCTCGAATCATTCCGGCTCTGAAAAAGCGCTAGCTCTAGAATGTTAACCTCATAGAACTTTTGTAACAACGTTGTTTTGGCTTATTGACTGTTTTAGTTGTTATATTATAGGCAATAATGACTAATGAACGCATGCTCCAGAGGTCAAGAACTGTTGCAGAAGCAAGGGGACCTTTAAAGTGGAAAAAGAATGGCTAAACAGTTTTGTTTTTTTTTGTTTATCTGACGGTGTCGTACTGTTTCTCTATCAATCGTCGAGCGAATGCTCATCGTATCGGTGCTGATACATATAAGCGTTTAAAGTAATAAAAGGAGTGGGATTCGTATGGAAATGGCTCTGGCTGTGAACAGTACTTTGATGATTGGATAGTAATGTAGTGCCAACTTTGCCATTATGTAATGACCACATCTTTTTTGTTCCAGTGGAAAGTGCACTTCACCTAAATAACAGCTCATTTACACTTTATGTGAGCAATGAAGAGTGTAAATTTGTGTATGCTACGGATAACTTTTGGGGAAGTAGTTTGTTTAATATCAGCTGAATGTAGCACAGCGGTTAGTGATCCTTTGCACTATATAATACACTGAATCGATCGCTCGTCCGACACCATATCACAAACTCAGTACACCGTCCACATCTTTCCGGAGTCGAGAAATTGGTATCGGACTTGTCTGTGAGGATAGCAGTACTGACATGATAAGCCGGTAGACTTTCGAAAGATTAGATACGCATGCAACTACCACGATGCATAATGGGGTCGAATGCACGGTTTATACTTAGGGGATTGATCAACGCTAAGCGCCTTGTCCTTTTATCATTTATTAACTGAATGCTATAGCGTCTGTTGACCAGGGATTGAGGGATTGTTGAGGGATTTTCTATAGGACAACATGAAATGGCCGACACTTTGTAAATTGCACCGGACCTATGTATTGCCATAGATCTTTCCCCTAATATTAAATCGTTGCGCTACACTGCAATGGGTGTAGATGAATTGCTAGTGCTTAGAACACCTAATGGCTGGACAACATTAAT